AGTTAAATCTTTACTTTTCTTTTCTCTTTGTTTGGCTAGTTTATAGATATATTTTTCATCCTCCTTAGTATCTAATCTATTATGAAGATCATTAAAAACAGAATTTTTAGCGTCACAGATTGTTCTTTTAGACTCCCGGCGAGCCGTTTGATATTTTTCTTAGTTCTCTAAGCTTTTACATTTAAACAAATTTTTATAACATAACTTCTTATATTTTATCTTTTCTTGCACATAATGTATGAAATTTTTGTTTAACATAAAAGCTTGAAGGAGGGTCAAACTCATGGAATCCTTTAACAAATTTATTAGCAACTAGAATATTATCATCACTGAGCCTTGTAGAAATAAAAGCATCTTGTGCATGAGTAGCGGCAGGGCTAGAAATATTTTAGAACAGGGCTACAAAATAATATATATAATGATAAAAAAATCACACCTTGTAATGTTTTTCTCAGCATTTTAATTTTGTCACAACTATCATTTTTTTTTAATCTATGATTGTGAACAATATAGTATAAAGTTCATGAATAAATTTGTTAAGACGCTCGATGTAATTTTGATATTGATTTAAAATAATATAGTTTTTAAATTTAATTTAAAATGAAATTATTTTTTATATTATTAATATTAATATAATTTAATAAAATTATAAATTTTGCAACGTTATTTAGCTAACTAAATTTGTTTAATATAAATCAGACATAATTATCAGATGAAAATTATTATATTATTCACATGTTAATAAAATTTAAATGAAGCTCATATTAATTTAAAAAAACTAATGAATAAATCTACAAAAATTTCAGCATATAAATTTACTATTCAGCATTCAAGTGAAAGATGAAATTTAAAAGATTTTTTCACCTTTATGCTTTTTCTTTTTTGTCCTTCAAAACAAAATTTTAATTTTAAAATTAATTAGATTATTTTGATTTTTAAAGTTTAAATAATCACTATTTATCTATCTCGATCTGACCTTTAATAGTTAATCTTTCATATGCTTAGGATGCAATTTACATACATGCCACCCAATTTTATGTTTGTACATATCTAACACCTAAATTATAATAATTATAGTTAGACCACCTAAATCTTTCATATCATATTAAATATATGACTAATTTAACTTTTAAAATGTGAACTACACGGTTCATTCACAGGGAAGGCGGCATGTATGTAAAAATCGAAGTTTAGGTGTTAGTTAAGTAAATGCAAAAGACTTGAGTGGTATGTATGTAAAACTTCCAAGGCAAAATAGTTGCCTTGTGCTAGAGAAGTGTAGAGATATTTAAAGTTTCAAATAAGGAAATAATGAAGTGGGAGAAATTTGTTATGCAAAATTTTTATTGAAGGTGAGATTTGGTCAATTTTCAAATAAGTTTGCTTGGTAATAATACTACTTCTCTTGCATTCAGCTGAAAAATGTGAACTTTTGTTAAATTTTGTTTGGCTAATTTTGGTTTTTTCTATTTACTTTACCAATATGGCAATATGATATATGGCGAGGTTCTATTTAGCTAATGTACATGTGGATCCAATTCTATGTAGACTTGATTTGAATTGGCTCACTTACCCTTATTCAAACTTCTCACAAGTAAAGATGATAAAAAAGGAGCATTTACATCCATAGCACGCAATTCTTATGTATTTACATATCTCACACCCAAACTTTCATATTTTTGATGTAATATTATAGATTTGATTGATATATGTGTAAATATGAAAGTTTAGGTGTGAGATATGCAAATACATAAGAATTGTGTGCTACCTTTGTAAATTTTTGTGAAAAAAATTATGTGAAATTTTATTTTTGGTTTGTGGTGACAGTATAATTATGTTTTATGTATGGGGCATTGACATGTATGCCACATCATTCTTATTTATTTACATATCCGACTCCTACACATTTATATTTACGTTCATGTCACTCAAATCTTTAACATCACATAAACAATAATCACGACTGCTTTTTTTAAATCGAAATGCATCTTTTCATGTATAGATTTATATAGGTTTAAATATCCAATTTTTGGTGTTAGATATGCAGACACATAAGCATTGTGTGGTATGTATGTAAATTTCCCTTTTAACTTGATGACAGCAACTATTGTTTACAGAGGCAACCCTCAATAGTCCTCTATTTTCATAAACTTTTCATTCTAATTTCATCCATATTATCTGAAGTGTGCTGCATATGTTTTCTATTTGTAACTGCTTATGAAACTTGGGGCTGGGATTCATCTTTAACAATTTTCATACTCTATACTTTCATGAATTTCAGCTTTCATTAAAAATGTCCGGGACTAAATGGGATTAAAATATATGTCTACCCATTCTGACAGTTTTTCTTTTTCTCCTGTAGTGATTGGAAATCCATCGGGCATCCACATACATGCAACATTTGTTTCGAAGATGGCAGGCGAGACCTTACAGAAGTATGCTGAAGGCGAAGGAGAATGCTGCATAGGCCCTCCGATTGAGGAAAATGCAGGAACAGTGCTTGTGATTTCTTTCGTTTCTGTTGTCATTATAATATCAGCTATTGCCGCATTTCTATTTGCTCGAAACTGTTGGATTCTTCGGAATGGTGGCCGTCGAAAACCTCCTCGTATGGACAGGGAGGAAGTAGAAATACTTACATGTTTCATATTTAAAAGGGCTTATTTGACCACCAAACATATTACTGAAACTTGCGCTATCTGTCTTGAAGATTATCAGGATGGAGAGAGACTCCGCCTTCTTCCCTGTCTACATGGTATGCACTCATTCCGCTCAAGTCCGTTTCATGATATTCTTCATCATTGTTATGAATAAATATGTTTTGAATGCTAAACTACAACAACTATAACATGCCTTTATCCTACTAAGTGGAGACGGCTACATGAATCTTTTTTCTCTATTGAATCCTATTTAGGGTCGTATTTTTATTTAATTTTAATAAATTAAGATTATTTTTTATACAATATTCCCAAGTCTTTTTAAGTTTTCTTCTACCTTTTTTAACATAATTAGTCGAATCCAAAATATCATCTCTCCTAACCGGATCTTCAGATGGTCTATGTTTTATGTGACCAAACCATCTAAGACAGCTCTCTCTAATTTTGTCTGCCACTGGAGCTACACCAACCATTTCATGGACACATTCATTTCGCATTTTGTCTTTAAGTGTCAAGCCACTCTTCCACCTAAGAATTCTCATCTCAGCAATACTTAACTTAGCTTTAATGCTTCCTTAGCTTTAATGCTTCCTTTTTAAAGGCCAATATTCTGTGCATAAAACATTGCAGGTCTCATCATCATCTTATAAAATTTTTCTTTAAGTTTAAGTGCCACTTTTCTATTGCACAATATGTGCATCTTTAATGTTGATGAATAAAAATTGTTTGAATTTTTTAACCTTATTGATATGGAGCATTTACCTACATGCCACCCAATTCTTATGTATAACACTGAAACTTTAATTTTTACATTTATGCCACCAAAATCTTTCATGCCACATCGGAAATATCACTATTTTAACTTTTAAAGAGTGAAATACACATTTTCATTCGTAGGTAAGGTAACATGTATTTAAAAATTGAAGTTTAGGTGTTGGATATGGAATTAAGCGGTGCGTATGCAAATCTTCCTACTGATATTTGATGATACGCTTTTTTATTCACTGCTGCAGTATTATCCATTGTCAAGAATAGCATTGTTCTTCCATCTTCATTTCATCGTTGTTGCTTGATACCTTCATGATCATGATATTCTGGCCAATGTTTTGTTTTAGGATGGATTTCAAAATCCTTAAATTTGCTTTTGAGATGAGCACAGCATATAGAATAATAGTGCTGCACTTATCTTAAAGTAAATATAAAGATTTTTAGATTCATCTTGACCACTTTTTGATCAGCATAAGTTGATACAAACTTTTTTCCATGATCATCTGTAATTGAAATCCAAAACTTTTAAGGGAAATTTACATTTATACCACATATTCTTGCGTATTTGCATGTTTAAGACCTAAAGTTTGATATTTATATTTATAACACCTCGGATGCTATAAACTTATGCATGAAAAGGTGTGTTTCACCTTAAAAAGATAGAAATGGTGTTATATTTTATGTGATGTTAAAGATTTGAGTGCTATATATGTATTATGAATGTTTTGGTATTAGACATATAAATGCATAAGAATTGTGTGGTATGTATGTAAATGACCCAACTTTTAAATGTATGCAAACTAACGGCCCTAAACGACATGAAATGCTGCTTTTCTCTTATCTCATGTTGACATAATTTTTTCGTAGAATTTCACTCGGCGTGTGTGGATTCATGGTTGACTAAATGGGGAACATTCTGCCCAATATGCAAATACGACATGAACTCCAGCAGGTAGTTTCTTCCAGTTCTGTGTTTGTAAAACCAAAATTTTTCTGCATATAATGATTTGCTCTCCTTATGTCTTTATCGGTTGTTCGTTGCTGCTAATTGTGCACGCCCACCACTAGTTTTTTAATTTAAGCAACAGGGAGCAGTTAAACAGTTCTTCTCTTCTAATGTTGTAAAAAATAATAAAAAATTCTTTTTGTAAAGTGCAGTTAGTAAAGCAGTATATTTGAGTTTTGTTTTTTTTTTGTTCCAAGTATTTTTTCCAATGACTCAAGTGCCAAAATAATCTTCTGACTATTTAATGGGGTCATTTTTGTCAGTCTTTAAAAATTCTAAATTAGCCTCCATACTCTTTAAATTAGCTCTGAAATTAGTATCCGTATTAAAAATGTGTGGGGTTAGCACTGTGAATGAGCCGAGCTTGTGCGAATTCAGTATTGCCTTGTGTTCGGGTTGTTCGAAATTGATTAGTATTTGAAATTGTCTGTGAACAGTGTGTTTGTGTTCAACTCGATTTACATATTATTGTTTGTGTTCTGCTCGTGTCGACTCGAATTTGGCTCTTTTAAATTAATTAGAAAAAAATAGATGCACGGTGTTAGATTCAAACATATACAAATTCTATGCAATAGAAGATGCATAACTATATGCCCAGACAAGTTGTTATATATATATATATATAT